CTGTCCATAATTTAGCAGTGTAAGACTAAAGGGAAGGCAGCTATTCATGACCACCCACCACCAACTCTTGGGCTACTCTTTTACCAACGAATAGTGGGATTGACCGTCACATTATAACACCCCACGGCTGAAATGGCGAGCATGTTTGGTGGTACGGGGATTCGAACCTGCGTCACTCAGATTGTGAGTCGAGCGCCCTAACCACCTGGCCACGCCGGGGTAGAAAATGAAAAATGAAATATCCTTGTTTCGGAGTTGATTCAAATTATTCTGGATTTTAAAGTAGCTCCTAACCGCTAAATATGCAGTTGTATTATTATACAGTTGGCCAAGAATCAAAATATATTTCCTGCTCTTTTCAGCGTTTTTAGTTTAACCGTGTATTAATCAGTGGAACTGAAACAGTTCAGAAGTAATTTATAAAATGATTTAAAATAAAATGTCATCTTTGAGCTTACATTGGATCCGCAATTAGTTAAATAATGTTTCATTTGGTCGTTGTTTGGTCATGTGAACTGGGAAGATCAGGTACATCTGGACCTCTCTCCTTGACTATTGATTTGGTTCTTGAAACTGCATTTAGCTAGTTTATTTGGTTTGGTGTGAATTTCGTGACAAGCTAAACGAGGGCCGTTTGCGCTAGCTATTCCTAATTTAGCAGTGATAGACTAGAGGGAAGGCAACACCATCCACCACCAGCTCTTGGGCTACTCTTTTACCAATGAATAGTGAAATTCACCGTCACATTATAATGCCCCCACGGCTGAAAGGGCGAGCATGTTTGGTGGGACAGGGATTCGAACCCGCAGATTGCGAGTCGAGCGCCATTCTAAACAGAGAAGTTTAACCCGATTTGCGGTACTTTTTCTCTTAACGGTATAACCTCGAATCTCTTATATACACACACACAAAAGAGAGCCCATTAAATAAGGATTGAAGATACTTACCCATCATACCATTCGATCCTAACATAGTCTTTTACATCTGGAGTTCTCTCTTTGAATTTCAAGCAGGTTTTCTCGTGGTAATCCCGAATTCCGTCAAGTATGTAATCACGAATGCTTTCTGAAATGTAATCAAGCATGTTTCTTGGGCACCAGAAACCATAAACGTATTTCTTTTTTCTAACAGCAACAAATGTTTTCATATGGAAAATTAGCACTTTAAATAGGTTTTGACTAATCACATTTTGAACAAATAATTATAACAATGGGGAAATATCGCAAAATGTGCGTACTTGTAATGTGATAATGAGTGTTTGTTTTAGTCCAGGAGTCGAAGAATGTATTAAAAGGTAAGGTCTAAAGCAAAGTTTCTGAAATTTAGGCTGTTTGGTCTTCATTCAGAAATGCATAATTTCAGAACATTAAATTTCAATGGTCATTTTATCTTACAATCTTATAATTGTAACATGGTAATAATTATCAATACTATTATCGCATGGTGATCAATTATTTGGGGTTTATCTTACAATCTTATAATTGTAACATGGTAACAATTATCAATACTATTATCGCATGGTGATCAAATATTTGGGGTTTATCTTACAATCTTATAATTGTAACATGGTAACAATTCGTAATACTATTATCGCATGGTAATTAAATATTTGGGGTTTATCTTACAATATTATAATTGTAACATGGTAACAATTCGTAATACTATTATCGCATGGTAATTAAATATTTGGGGTTTATCTTACAATATTATAATTGTAACATGGTAACATTTCGTAATACTATTATCACATGGTAATCAAATATTTGGGGAACTATAGCACCAGTGGTCCCTGACCTTATATTTAGATTTCATTTTTATTTTTAATATAAGATAAACTTTGTTTGACTAAATTCATCAATAATACTCTAAATTTATAAAATCCTAGGCCTACATTTATTTGTACACTCACCTACCGATGATCCCAGCTCATAGTAAACAACTCCTCCGGGCCACAGCAATGTGTCATCGACTATAGCGTTTCGGTCCTGATCAAAACAAATAATAAACTTAGAGTTTTTGGAGAAAAAAAATTAAAAAAACAAAGATTTATTCTTTGCTACTTAGTAACGTTTTCCTTGAATAATCTGAGTTATCTTGTGGTGGGCAGAGCACAGAGAACCCATTGCGTAGCTTTGTGCTTAACAACAAACTTTTTGTTGTTAATGCTACCAGCAACATGATAGAATAAGCGATTAATTAGTTTAATTTGATATCAATGTGTTTCTAAATATTACACAATAAATGCATCTTTCATCTTCTACTGCTCAAGCTTTGTTTGTAGTAAAGCACGAAGCTACACAATGGGCTATCTGTGCTGTGCCTACTACAGGTATTGAAACCCGGTTTCTAGCGTTATAAGTTTGTAGACATACCACTGAGCCAGTGGGGGACTGTACTTCTTAAGCAACAATAAACAAGTCAATTGATATAAATTTATCTTTGAGTTTAGTAAGTTAAGATTAGT